ATCCTTATTCGTATAAAATAAAACATTTAATTTTAAATTGAGCAACCATCCAAACATTTACTCTGAAATTGAATATTTAGCCAATTAAATTTATTTAGCTAATTTTCTAAGGTTTAATTAATATAAAATTTTATATTTTCCATACAATAAATAATATTATGATACATAAAGTCTATGAGACTATTCGGGAAGAAAAAACTATTGAAATTAAAAAAATAATTTGTGATTGTTAAATTATATTATATTTTGATTTAACCATGATATATATATGATTTTTTTATTATATTTTAACTATAAATTCATTTTGATCATAAATAATTAGATAAATATAAAAACAGTGTAAGAAAAAAAGGCTCCTCAACATAGGAGGAGTCGAGCCTTGGTGATTGCAAGAGTTTTCCCTCAGGTTTGTCTTCCAAAAACGTCTTTGGGGTTAGTCTCTTGTGGATTGGAGTCGGCACAAGAAAACAAGATGATGAAGATTTAGAGGGGTTGTGGAACTTTTAGACGTTTCCTGAAGAAGAGATGATAACCAAAGATAAAACGGCATCATTTGTCAAGAAGAAGTCCTACTCGTATTTGCTTATACCCGATTCGGTGACCCTCATGTGACCTATACTTTCTTCCCATGACCCAGCTCACCAGATTTTGAATTTTTTCCTTTTTTTTTTTGGGTTCTTAATTCAATTTTTTTTCTTGTTTATTATTGGATTATCATATTATTTAATTTGAAAAATAAAAAGAAAAATTTGGGGTTTTGAAAATGTTGGAAAATTGTAAATTTTTGTGTAATTGTTTAGTGTAGTACTTTTCTATTATTATTAATTTGTGAATAAATTAAATGGAATAATTTAATTGTCATATGATATTTAATAAATCCAATGATTAAGCCTCTTCAAATAAACAATAAATTTATCTTGAATACTTTTGAAGTGAGAAAAAAAAAAATTTTGTGACAGCCTAGAAACTTTTTTTCAGTATTTAAACATCGAAATTAACAAAAATTATTTTTTATTAAGATTTAGACAAGATAACATGTAACTAGTTTGGTAACAATTTTTGGCGTAATGAGATGCTAAAACCTTCCTTTCTATAACCGACTCTCAAATATAATTCTGTTAATGTTAACCAAAATCTATTCTTTTAAAATCATTAGTTTATGCTTAGAACAATCTTAAAAAAATTATATTCACATAGGAGGCCAATTATACTTGGATAAAAAATTTAGTAAAAGCTTTATGATTTTTGTGTCTAATGACAGGTTTTTGAACTTGAAAGTTATGAAAGTCATAATTAATATTTATTATAAAATTTATTTTTTTATTTAAAAAAAAACTGAAATATGAGCGAGCTTAGACAGCTTATTTTCATTTAGGACTAGATTTGAACAGCAAAATGAAGCTTATATTTCGGGCCAAATCTAAACAAACTTAAAACTTATTGATATCTAATTTAGATCTGATTCAATTCAACTCATGGACAAATTTAATTGGCATTGCACTCATATCTGACCTTGTTGAGTTTAGGGAAAAAAAAATATAAGTGGTCTTGCCAGCTGCCAACGAGTATGAATATTTGGACATCCAAGTCTAGATGCTGGTTTTTATGGTTTGATTCACGTAATTTGCCATCAATTTTGAACTTTTCACCGATTTAATTTTCTTTCTTTCTTCACAAATTCATGAATATAGCGTGTAAATTCAAAAAATACTTTGTTTTCTAAATGTAACACATCTTACCTCTGAGTCAATTAATTTTAATTATTGATCCCTGTTGAAATTAAATTTTCTTCTTGCGATTTTTAATTGGTGGTGGTCAGGATCAGCGACTCTTGTAAAATTGTAACCTTATATAGCCTGTCATTTGCTTTCATGTAAATCTATCTATTCTAACCCGAATAAAAAAAAAAAAAATCATTTAATTCAACCTAATCGATCAAATCCGATTTGACCATAAAAAAGCCAAATTCACCCAACACAATTTTGAAAAAACCTTGAGTCCAAATCAATCCAAATCCAAATCCAAATTAACTTAAGCTCATAATGATTCAAATTTGAAATAATTTGAAATCAAAATGGCTTAAACCCCAAATGACTCAAAATTGAAATGATCATAAATTTAACTCAAAATCACTCAAGACTAAACTAAGTATGATTTTATTTAAAAATATTAATTTAATAAAAATAATATATAGCACAAATAAAAATAATTAATATAACTCAAATGATAACATATTAAATTATTGAAACTAGCAAATTAATATATATTTTATATCAAACTAGTATAATATCTATGTTACTTATAATATTTTGTAAAATTTATAATATTATTTAAAATAAATTATATATTATAATCCCCTAGCCCAAATGATAATTAGGCTAAACTATTATCAAAGTCCATTGTTTAATTAAGAGATTAGTTACTAAAAGAAAAAGGGCCTAGTATTTTACAAGAGAAACCTAGCATCTTTGATTAATGTGAAACAACAAAGAAAAATAGAACTCTTCTTTTTCATCTTCGTAGGGTTAGAGAACTTGAAAACTCAAGTTAGGGATTTGAAATAAGAGGTTACAATTGGATTAATCTATTAAAGGTGAGCTCAAGCCCTTTTTTTATTAAAGAAAAATACCATGTTGATTATTATTATTTGAAGTTGAAGTTTATGAGTGAAAAACCTAGAAAATTTATGAAATCTCTCATTAATCTTCATGATTTATTTGCATAAATTATTGGGCTTTATTTTCTTTATGTTGTTAAGGCTTAATGATGATTATTAAGTGAATTTTAAAGGTTTAAAGTACGGATTTGGGTTTTTAAATATTGAAAGAGAAATGTTGTTTTTAAATAAGATGTTATTATCTAAAACAGTAGATTAAAACAAAACTCTGTATTACGAGACAAAATATTACTATAAGTATTATATACCATTCGAAAGCTTGTTGAATTTATTTTTCAACTAGACAAATGGAAATTGATTTTGAGTTTTTATGAAAAGTTATCTAATTTTTACTTAAAGGGGTGCAAGTTACCTATAGTAACATTTAAGATAAATTACGATAATTTTATTAAATTTTAATAAGGAATTATAGATTGAGCCATATATATTTGGAAAGATTATTAAGTCTAATTTTTAATGAAATAAGTAGAACTGAATTTCAGGTCTCTTACAAATAAATATATGATTTTTACTAGAAGGTATACATGTTATCTTTCTTTTAACAGCATATAATGTGAATTGTAAAAGTTATTACAATCAATCTACAAGAAATTATGAAGTGAGCCATATATGCTTAGAAATATTATTTTGTCTAGTTTCTAATGCAATAAAAAGATCTTAATTGCAAGTTATATATCTTGATATATGATCATTTTAATAAAAAGAGCACAGGCTACCAATATTAGTTAGATGAGTTAACTCTTACATAATCTAGTTGTTTTAGTATAAATAGCCTAAAAAATGATTAATTAATTTTTGATATATTGAAATGACCTTGAATAGGTTGTTAATTATTTTTGGAAAAGAAAAACTTAGTGATGGAATCAAAAGAAGTAAAATCTCACATACTTTGTTTGTTTTAAACTTACGTATGTATATAAATTTCTCAAAATAGTAAATGAATGTCTTATTGTTTTTTTGTATATAAAAATAAGGTCAAGCATATGATTATATTATGTTTGGTATATAAATGATGAATTATGAGCTCATAAATGAAAGATTGCTACGATAATGATTTTAAAAATTGATTATGATGAAATGTGAGTTTAATAATGAAATATGAAATGATTGATAAAACTTAATGAATAATTTATGAAAGTAACAAATTTACATCTTTAGGAAGTGGGATCATCAACACCAAAATTAGTTCTATGATTTTGGCTAACGAATTATAGTAATTAGCATAACCATAATCATACGACCTTGTCAGCGGGTTATAATAGTTAGCATAAAATTCTGGCTAACAAGTCATAATAATTAACAATAATCATAAGAATGATATTGCCAATACAGCGTTTATCATTGGTTATAATTATAAACGTAATTAATGATGAACTAAGACAAAGATTCTAAAAAAAATAATGATGATTTATGATGGTTTTTAAAGATTGATTAATGGTTTTGTTTGATTACAATATTTAAATGATAGTATATGTTGCCAATGACTTATGAATTGCCATATTTTGATATTGATTTATGAGTTTATGAAATGTTTGACATGTTTTGACAATATAATTTAACAAATATTTTGAATGATTTATATGGTATATATGAAAACATGCTTAATTGGTAAGGTGTGTGGGACTATATTTGTTGAGTTATGATTTGTTCATTTTCTTTTTTACTTTCTCTTTACAAATAAGTGATAAGTTTTTTTAGTTTGTAAGAAGTTAGAAGATTAAATTAGAAAGGTTACTTAGGGTTTAGAAACATTATTGACCAATAAGATCTTACAAAACAGTTTTGTTATTTTTATTAATTTACATTTAAATATATGAAGATTTATTATCAATTTATTGAAAATTTTTAAAATGATTAAGAATAAAAACTTTGTGTTATTTTGAGATTTTACTTCAAAGTAATATTACTGTATTGTGTCTCAGTCTCAGGACATGATATATATTTTTAATTATCATAGGTATACATGTCAATGTATCATTTAGAATAAATTATATAATCTCTCATAATTATACATGAATATTAACTATCATGGGATTTAGAATAAGTATATAAAACAAGCCATAGATTTGTGTATATACATTATATTTATGTTTTAAAATATAAAATGATAAAAAAAATAATATGATTTAAAATTTTAATAAAAATCATATATAAATTTAATAAAAATAAAAAAATATATTTCGTATTTAATATATCAACACAAATTATTATAGTATAATAGTTTTTATATTTTACATATATTCACACAAAATAAACAATACAAATGCATTATTATATTTAATTTTTAGGCACAAAAGAACCTATGTATTTCTTCTACCAGTAAAAAAAAAATTGTATATTTCCGTATTTTGGACGTCGTCAGATATTTTGTTTCAATTATTTTAAAGCACTTTTTGGCTTCAATTAAAGACAAAAACATGTGCGCAAGTACGAGGTCATGGATGAGATTGTCTACTTGTCGTCAACATCCAGCCACTTTCCATTTACCACATGCATAATTTTTTGTACTTTCCCCCACGAAATTCTACTGCAGGATAAGGAGATTTTGTTGGAAAAAAACAGAGAACACCACGTAATACTCGGAATATAACATTATTATTGAGCTTAATTATATTAAAAGTTGAAAAATATAGAATGAAACAAAAATACCATAACAATAACAGGAAGGGGAAAATGATAACATTGGTGAATTTATAATTACATATAAGGCTCTGAACAATATCTGTCGTCGGACATTATTAATGAGCAGTGCATTCTTTAGGGAGGCCCTGAGGAAATCGTTTGGTGTCCGTACAGTAGTTGTAAATCATGTAATTTTTCTGAACCCATTGGAGCCTTTGTTGGCTTGTTGTATCAAGTTCTTGCGACAGCCAAGCGGGTCTAGACTGTGAGCTTGAAGAACAAGAAGATTTGCCTGAAGACCAGACACAAGCATCAGCCTTGAAATTCCTGTAAGAAGCAGTAAAGGGAGCTTTGCTCCAGTCTGTCTTGACTAGGCCACCTCGAGTAGCCCAGTCATCGGCGTTCCAGAGACTAGAGTATATTCTCATGGGCTGGTTCTTTGGGAATGGAATGCCAATTGATTCCAAGTTCTTGAACTCTCTAATTGGAGTGCCATCAACAGAGAAGCTGACGATTTTTAAGACAAAAATTCAATTAAACTTTCTAAAAAAAATTATCAGGAAAAAAAAAATCATAGTATAGCTCTAGCAACTTACATAATACGTTGAGGGTTCCAAAGAACAGAGTAGGTATGGAAATCATTCGTGGGGTCGAACCAAAGGTAAAACTGTTGCTCTCTGTTACCTTTTCCCTGGCTAAATACATTTGTGTGAACTATGTAAGGCTCGCCGCTGAGGTTCCCCAAGAATTCGAAGTCGATTTCATCCCAAGTCGACCCTTGTGAACGTAGCTGCCACATATAAAAAAACATAAATTATATCATCACAGAGTTATTCAAGTTGCAATAAGTGAGAAATTATAACTTACATAGTATGTAGTAACAGTGCCAGCAGAGTTGCCTGGAACGAGCTTAAGCTGCATATCAATCTTCCCAAAGATATACTCATTCTTGGATTGGAAACCTGAGCCAGAGAATTTGTCCAGGGAGAGAGTAAGAAGCTGGCCGTTGTTCAGTATCTTACCTCTACCATCTCCCCAAGTAACATCAAAGTCCTGGTAAAAGTTGGCTGTAGAAGAAGCAACTAATACAAAGCCAACCAATATTTGTACTAGCAAACCAACTGAACTCCTCATATTTCCTGGATTTTTTTTTCTAATTTAATTTTGAATTTTGATCTGGATGATTTGAACTTTAAAGTGGGAAGTGTTAGATGATTATATAGGGGAGGGTTGGTGAAAATGACGGAACAGAGCCTGCGTTTGGAAGTTTCCTATTTTCTCTTCCGTTCAGGACTTGATGTACAGTGTGTAATTCAAAGTTGTAAACAGCTGGACAAAGGGCATAAATAAGTTAAAGAAATGTTCCAAATCTGATTCCGATGGCTATTCCTTCCTTCCCTGCAAGTAATTTATATGGGTTTGGTGCCACCATTCAATATGTTATGATTGTGCAAGCAGAGATACACGCAATCACGCACCCAAAAGCAAACCCGGTTGGGGAGCAGAACAAGCCACCGAATTCAATAGGCGCATCTCCACGGTCCCGAGGCTTATTTTACCGAATTTGAATGGGATTTTACTGCACTACAAGATTCCAGTGGGCCAATGGAGTTAGTCAGTTGTTGTCATATTGGTTGACAGGGTCAGGTCAAAAACTTTTAGGGCCCAATTTCTAGACAAAAGTCCAACCACTGAAATCATCTCGTCAAACAAGATTATCATAAAAAAAATAATAATAAATTTTACCATTATTGTATATTAGGTGGGTTTGATGATATAAGAGAAAATACGTGATTGAAATCTTAAATTTATTTTAATTGTTTTATATAATAAATTTTAATTAATTTATATAATTACTTCTAAAAAATAATATTTAATAAATTTAAAATTCGAATTACAATATGTATAACTCCTCCTTTTATTCTTAAACTATAATTTCATTCATAAAAAAAAAAAATCTATGATAGTAAATATCAACAATCTTAACATTCTTAAGATTGTGTATACATTGAATTTTTCCCTTCTTTCCAAAGAGGACAAAAGTAAATTCCTCTGTCCAGAAAAGGAAGATCCACAGTTTAACTTGTTATTATTACAAGGGTTTTCCCTATTTGAGCTTGATGAGAAAATGTGATATCTTTCAGAGTTTCGTTTGTGGCACATGTACGCGGAGGTGGATTCACGTGTTAAAGATTTAAAAAATAAAATTTAATGAAAAATTTTTTATGAGCATCCTAAATTTTTTTTTTGAATATTTTTTTATTAATAAAATCAATTGATAATTTATTATATATTATAAATAAATATCCTTAAAATTTTTTGAATTCACCGCTACATGTACGAGCTAGCTAGCTCGCTCGAACACTTTTTGAGATCTTACCTGTGACTTTGGGTGCTGATCTACAAAAACTATATACGTATGCCATTGGTTGGAATCATTGAAGTTAAAAGCTTTCAAAGTCAAACATGTGATTACTGTGGAAAGATATGGACATAATCTCACTAGTGAAAGCTCTAGACTCTATCTCCAAGTCGTTACTTCTAGTTGTCGGTGCTTGAAACTTTTTCAATCACATTGATTTGCAATTTTGTATGCTCTATGTATAAAAATTTTGGTTATGATCATCAGTTGAGTAATTTAAAAAAAATTAAAATAATATTTACAATAATAAAATCAAAATGTCTTTCTTCAATTGAGTACCAAATTATCAACAGAAAATTCGATTTGATAGAAAATTATAATGAAATATATGAAATTGAGATTAGAAAAGCGATTGTGGGTGTTTGGATTTAAAATTTAAGATTATGTTTGGTATATAAAATGTAATTATCTTATGTTATATTTGATTTGTATTTAAAGAAATGAATAAAATTATAAAAAAAATTAATTATTTTTTTAATATAAAATAATTCAATTCTTTCAAAGTGAAAAGAATTATTTTTAATCCATGAGATCAAACTTAAATATTTTATTATATTCTTAACAATTATATCAATAATTTAAATTGTATAAATTTTTAAAAAAATAATTTTGACAAATAAATAAATTATCTTATCTTAACCATTGTATACATCAAATATAAGATAATATAATATTATTTAATTTAATGTTAATTATAATATTATCTTATCTTATTCTATCAAAATATTATAATCAAACACGCTCTAAATCTATTTAATGTAAAAAAAAATTATAATTTTCTTTTAAAAACGGAAAATGACTTATGGCCGGTATATATTAAACTACTCAATTAGCTAGTTAGGTAGATAGATCACTTCTATATGTTGCACATATTTGATATAGAAACTATAATGAATTAATAATTATTACCAATTTGTCTATAAATGTAAACTTTGAGTATCTATGCATGGAAATTTTTATGCCATATGTAGGTCAAAAGAAATACAAACTTTTTATTTTTATTCAAGTCTAAAGATTACACACCAAACACCAATGCAAATAGATGCAAATTAAAAGGAGTCGCATGCATAATATAGGTAGGTTACGGCAAAAATGCTCCCAAAATGCATGGTTAGGTATAGGGGTGTAAATGATACATTAGTATCACAAGTTACTCGGGTTCGATTCGATAAAAACTTGAATTCGGTTCGATTATTATTGAGTCGAGCTCGAACTCGAGTAACTTGACTTATCGATCGAATCGAATTCGAGTATTCTTATATCCGGTTTGAGTAGCTCGTGAGCCTAATCGAGTTTTTATATTTAAATATATTTTATTATTTTAATTAATAAAAATATTTTGAGTCCGAGTTTCAGTTCGAGCATAAATAATCAAATTTTTGTCGAGTATACTAATCGAATTTATTTTTACATATTAATCGAGTTTAATCGAGCAAGCTCGAATAGCTCGAATTCGATCACGAATCAAGCTCGAGATTAAAAAATAAAACTCGATCAAGTTCGAATCGAATATCGAACCCCGAGTTATGAGTCGAACTCGAGCTCGAGCTTCTCACTGTATTGACTCAATTACACCCTTAATTAGGTAGCATGTACAATCTTCACCAAAAAAATTCAATACATTATCTTGCATTAATAACGAGTTTTAGGATTGGAATTAGCTTGCTAAGTTGGAGGCTTTAATAAAACTTGCCAGCTATGTAACTTAATAAAGTAAGCAATAAAATTTTGAATAAAGTTAAATAATAACAAAAAGTTGTTGTCACCTAATTCACTTATGATTTTCACAAAAAATAAATATGCACAAAAATTGTTTCTCCCTCTATCTAATATATAGTTCTGATTTTGATTCCGCACAAATTAATTTTTAAAAATTAATTTAAAACAACTAAATATATGTAAAATAAACGGTATTTATAGGACAAAAAAATAAAATTTATTATCTTCGTATCATTTGTAAATAGTTTGAACAATCTCAAAACTAATATGAGGGTAGACGAAATGTAATTACTAGATATTTTATATGGACTATCAAGTATCTTAAAAGTACTTAATTAAAGTAATATTTTCCATTCAATAAATTGAAAGTTCTCACAATAATATCAATATGGTTGTGTCTTATATAATGTAGAACATAGAAAACTAGGTTGGATTTGATGGATTACCAAGAATGAGGCAGGATTGGAAGGTTCATTGGAATTCGAATTGGGAGTCGGTGGAAAGAGGATAAGAGATAAGAAGAGAAATGAACAGCTGGCTGCCAAAATGATAGAGAAGAAGGATTAGTTAAAACAAATGGCATCCAGTTATCAATTTCCCATTCCCATGACGATAATAAGGTGTCAAAAAGGGCAACTCCGCAGGTGGTTCTTTCGGCTGCGTCGAATTGGCTCCTGATAGTACAGGATGGCCCATTGGGGCCTTGTTTGGTGGATGTATATTCACCAACTTCGAGTTGGCTAAACACACAAAACACAAGGAAATCATTAACAAATATACATATATGGACCAACCCATTTCTTTACTTTTAACTACTATACAATCATTAAGTTGGGTGCATAAAATTATAAGATATAATAAAATAAGATTATTGATAAAACTGAATTGTCTAATATCTTCTTATCTTATTTTTTATGCTCTTAAAGATTAATTAAGAGAAAAAAGAATGATTTGTGCAAAATTAAGAGAAGGATATGATAAATATAAATTTGTTACTATTTAGGAGAAATTCTATTTTGCTGGAAAATATAAATATGATAAATAATATTTATTCAAGTTGTGTTTATCTAACAAATATAAATGTGTTACTATTTAGAAAAATTATATTTTGGAGGAAAATATTTTATTTTTAAGTTTTACATTTAGTAATTATTAAATCTTATTAACTAAAATATGATAAATACTTGTTCCTTTACATACAATAACTTATAGAAATGATATTCTTCAAAGAACCATGTAAAAAAACAAGGATCAAGTAAACTGTCTTAAAAAAAAAATCATTCATCTTGTTTTTGGTCAGACATGTTTCACTTTTTAGACATTGGGAATTAGTCTGCAGAGACAATTCCTTCTTGTTACGCCACCATATCCTTATCCTGCCTCCATGAGGAAACAGAAACTACAAGATATTTGTTATTTCAACTACAGAAAAGCTGGAAAATGAATCCCATAAAAAATAATCAAAGCCACATTGAAGTAAATAAATAGTTACTTATTGAAGGATGTAGTTGTAGATAATCAAATTGTATCGTTTAAAAAGTCCACTTGGTAAGGCCAGACTTATCTATCCCACATCAGGAGCAGATACTAATTTTTGGCAGCATGCTGAGGTTGAAAAGCTATGGCTCGATTGCGGGGGTGTGGAGCATTCTTTTTGCTTAACATGGATACAATTCCCACAGGAAACTCTGTTTGCTTGGCATGTATTATGACAACTTCTGTGCTATGCGGTTGCTTTTGTACATTTAAGCTTCAGAAAAGAAAGCTACGATATCTCAGCTAAAACTGATTGCCTAAAAAACCCATCGCAGAAAATCTATTATTTTTCAGTAAACCCACTCATCAGCATGGGATTTCAAGTTTATAGTACAAATAACTTGATCTACTGATGTCCATGTTTGCTCAACTTCTTCCTCATACTTCATTACCAAATCGAACATCATGTTTGTAACTACTCTTCACTTTAACATGCATCACCAAACTCAAGCATTATATTCCCACTAATACAGCCTG